GACCTCTCTGCAGTCCGCGCGCTCCTATCCTCCCCCGAGGATGGTGAGTTCTTTCCCTCTGCAGCACGCCCCGTCTCCGCGCTGCTTGTAGACAACACGAGCCTGCATGCCTTCTGCTTAGGCCGACTGCAGAGCTCTTGCAGTGGCCGCTTTCGTTTGAGAGCCGTAGCATCGCGTTGTTGGCCCTTCTCTGCTCCTCCTTCCCATCTTTGCTTCCGCGGCACTCGTGCTGCGAGCAATTCTCCTTCGGCCTTCGGTTGGGCTGGTGGCGTGCAGGCATGAGTCTCTTCTTCGTCGGTGTCGACCTCAACGTCCTTCACATACCGCCCCGGATTGCTGCGTCACAGCAATGGAAATTGCACCCGCTTGGTCGCGGTCAAACAACCCATCGACCGATAGAAATTGATCAAGAAGGGAGAGAGGTGATTGATCGATCCTCCCTTCTCCTCGAACGCATGTTGCCTCGTTATCTTCCACAGAATGCGAACTCAATGAATCGGAGCTCCGGCCAACGCCAGCTCCACGAATGCCATCTGCCAAGAAGTTATGTAGGTGGTCATGTGCGGCTGCAAGAGCTGAAGAAGTGCTACCGCGACATTTATGCGGTAGCGATCCTTGTAGTCCCGGGTCTTGTACCCGTTCTTGCTAGACTTGCTACTCTTGAATAGGGTCGCGAAGGAAATCTCCTCCTCCTTCGTGACCTTGATGCTTTCACTCTCGAATAAAAGATGGCCGTCCTCTCCCGCGCATCTTCCCAACATCTGCTCCCAGTCACTGATGTCCCGTCGCTCTACGTGCGGTCGAAATCCGCGCGTAAGTTGGTCCCTGCCCTTCTGCCACTCGCACACCATATCTTGACACACCCAATTCCACCCCCACAGGAGGAAATTGAGTTTCACCGCAGTAAGCTCGTGCTGGAACGCGCGCAACCCAATCTGCGGTAGCTTCAGCGGAATCATCCGCAGCTACGTCATCTTCGACATCGCGTTCTTGAAATTCCCCGCGCACTTCAGAAGTCCGCGACTTGCTTTTGCTAGCTCCTCACTTCTAGTACGCGGACGCGATCTCTCCGCGAACTCTCACTCTCACTTCCTAGCAATTCCCTCGGCAGCGCACTCAGCTCTCGCGAGAAATCAAAATTGCAATTCCAAGAATGAGTTGCCCGTCTTCGGCACACAAGATTTCATTGTCGACACTTGGGCGTGGGGATCGACCCACTTGATTGCCGCGCCGGCTTGGAGGCGTAACGGCCCCCCTCTCGCACGGTCGGCTTCACGCTCCGCTGTTGTGCGGGCTCACACGCTTGAAACTTGAATTCGATTTCAGCAGTTGTCCGTCGTCGTAGCCCTACTCGCGCAGCGCCGAAGGCGTGGCGGCGGAGACCTTCGCCTCTGGCCGATTCTCGACTCTGTACTTCCCCGCACCGCCGAAGTCGTTCCGCCGAAGGCGTAAATCTTCCGCCGAAGTCATACCCTTGAAGACGTCCGTCGACTTAGGTGCATCGCCGAAGGCGCTTGAGCCGAAAGCGTTGACCGAAGTCAACTTGTCTTGTCCTTTCCGCTGATCTCTCTTATCCCCCGAAGGCGCTTTTGGCGCAGGACTTCCGTTTCGCCGAAGGCGCACGTGTCCGATTATTACGTACCGCCGAAGGCGTTCGGCCGAAGGCGGATCGTACGGAGTCGCTTGCCCCGAAGGCGTTGACCTAATCTTGATGCGCTGGCGCCGAAGGCACTCATACGAAGGAGTACACCGCCGAAGGCGTTGACCCTTGGGCTGAAGGCGCATCGTCCGTCGCCGAAGGCGTTCCGCCGAAGGCGCTCCCTATCAGTAACTTCCGACACTTGTAACTCATTGATCTCTCATCCGTTCCAAGAGTTCTTGGGCTCGTTAGAACGAGCGCGTCGAGCTCTTTCTAACAAGACCCTAACCAGATCAAGGCGTTACGAATTGGGACAGTCACAAGGGATTTCCCTAGCTCCAGAGGCGTTCAGCTCCGAAGGCGTGTTCTCCAGCTTGCGCCGAAGGCGATTCCCCTCAGAACCGTTTGTTTGGGCCAAGGCGCATGTCCCGGACATTGCGCCCAACTCGATGATTTTTGATGATTCTAGGAGACCCGCGATCATCCATTTTCACTCTATTTAAGTGTACCGATTACTATTTACAGTCGCTGCTGTGGTACTGTTTTTCAAAAATGTTTTAAATTCCGCACTAAAACAAAATGTGGGTTATCACAATGATAATAATAAACACTATCAAGAATCCATACGTCACGAACAACCTTTAGTGAATTGCATATGGCATACCTCTAACATCATAGGGCATTCTCTAGCAAATCATACTCCTTTGGGTCAAATCTTTTTGTGTCATTTGCCAACAGAGAAAAATGTGCACCTTTGACCTTCTTCACATGGCAGTACTTTGTGACATGGCCACTCTTGTCACATCGCCAACAGACTACCATCTTACTTTCAAGGACCTTATACTTGAACTTGAATTTCCCTTTGGATTCAACACTTTTCTCATTCTCATTGTTCCTCGAACGTGAGCAACCTAAAATCACGTTCAGTGTGGTACTAGAAGAATTGGATGAATGAGATGATAACATCATTTTTTTGACGAAGAACATCTGTCAAAGAACACTTACAACGTCGTTGTAAGTGATAGTCTTTCTATCACGATGGAGAACTATACGTGATAACGTCTGATACGATGCCGACAACGAGGTAAGGAGATGAAGAAATTTCATTCCATTTGATATCTATTGGCGAAGATTTTGAAGATCTATCACAAGGTCTCCAAAGGCATCGATGTGATATTAGATCTTAGCTTTTGGAATCTTTCATTTTGAAGTTCATTAACTTCAAGTGAGTGTACAACTTGTTCGACAATTTCATGTGATGAAATCATGGTTTTAAAGCCTCAAACATTATACTTACCTTGTCATACTCCTCCACCTACTTAAAAACCTCAGGTTGAAGATATTCCAGAATGATGTACACTTCTTGTTCGTGCAAATTCTTCCACTCGATATTGCTGAGGGTGTTGGGTTTTTCCCTCAACAGCATGCCAATATCCTTGGCCTTTAACTTACTTTCACAAAGCAAGTAATCTACGCGTCTATCAAACGTGATGATCTCATAACCAGGTCCTTCAACCTATCTTGTTGACATCTTCTTTCGATAAAAACTGGTACATGTGAGAATTTACTCCTTTCTCTTCATTGGTTAACTTCCCTGGTATACGCCAATGCATTACTAACATCAATAGCTTTCCAACAATATCCAATTTGTCTGTTGGAAGAAATATGTTCGTGAATAAAAAATTTCTACATAATTTTTTTGAATCTGCTCGGAGCTTCGCGAACTTGCCCGCTCATTGGCCTGAGGTGCCTAAACTTGCCTATCACTGCTCAGAAGATGCTCAAACTTAAACGCTTTCTGCTCGAACCTGCTTGCTCGCTGCCCGTTACTGCCCAAACCTGCTCGACTTGTCCGCTCATCATGTGTTGCCAAAGGTCGCGTCGTGACACGCGCAACCGCCACGTGTCGTTAAGAAGGAGTTCGTGTGTCGGCTGACCGCAGCTCGGTCGCACCGCACCGCGCGCAATCGCCACTTTTGTTGTTCGCGACGCAGTCCTGCAGTACTGTGCGTTCGTGTACTTGCACAATGCGCCTAAGCGAGCTAGTATGTCTGCGCTGCCGCTGCTCAAACTCGCACTGCAGGTTCTCGCTGCCTGAGCGAACGTGCGCTAGCTCGCGCATTCACCAGGCTGGATTGTCGACAGATCACCGACCCGACCTCGTCAAAATCTGATGGTTGATTTTGGAAAATCTGTCAACTCACAAAATCGGTCAAATTTGCTTTCGCGTGTTACTGCCTACTCCTTTGTCTATGTTCCTGACTTTTGTCTGCTTGCGCTAGGATTTGCACTCTATGGCTCGCTTGATGGAGGTAGTTCATCCGCTCGTGTTTCAGATCCTGTCAGATTCTTTCAAATTTTTTGTGGAAGAAATTTGACAATTGGAGTTGCCTCATCCTTGTTTGATTTGATGCTCAAAACAACTCTTGATATCTTCCCTTCTCTTCGACTCGATTGTGGATATGATATGTTACAACAAAAGTCTTGAGTTTATATCCTTCATATTCGACCTTATTCATGCAGACTTAGCTAATTTCCATGGAAATTAGCTAAGTTTTGAGCCAAGAAAATTTATCCAGTCAGATTCATAGAAGTAAGCTTCGCCAGTACAGAGTTAAACCTCCCAATAGTGACATATATTGGTACTTAGGTTTTACCTCACTATTGCAAGGTGTCACTCACAAGAGTAAAGTGCGTATAATCTCATAATAGTAATATACATTGGTGTTTAAATTGGATGTCATTGTTAGGAGGTGCATAATTTTAATATAACCTCCTAACAGTAACATACATTGGTGTTTGGGTTAGATTTCACTATTGGGAGTTGTAAATTATATAAAAAAAATTCATAGATTTCTTATGGTGCAGTGCATCAATCCTAAGACTTTCTATAAATGTGTTGTTTGGTTTCAAAATGGCCTTCATTTGCACATCTGTATTGTTAACATGGGCATTATAGTTACATTTAAATTTAGATTAATACACACAAATTTGAGTGAAACAATTAATGGTAATATATGTAGCAAATTATGCGTTTAGGGTTAAACCCTAAAGCCTTACTTAAATCTAGAAAGTGTGAATTGTTGAGATATACCTTTAAATATACTTATGATACATTTTTTAAGTCTTATAACTATGTATTGTGATAATGATAGGAATTTTTACTCTGAAATAACATTTGAAATTGTCACTATTGTATAGTATCATGTCACTATTGGGAATAGTGACGTACCGTTCTTATTATGTAGATTTACAAGTTAAAAACTAATGATTTTGGGATTTTACGTCACTAATGAGAGTATGTCACTCATAAGAGGTGACACTATTGGGAGGTTTAACTCTGTATAGCTTATACATTCCCTTCAATCGACTGGATGTTTGCAAACTTTATTATCTTAAATGGAAATCTACCATCTAATGCTCATTCATGCCCCTTGCAATCGAATTGCACATGAGCCCCATTGTGAGCAAAATCACCTTTTTCCACAGTTGACAAAACTAGCCAATAGAGTGAATACTTTCTGGAAACTCATAAGAGAAGTTTGAACGTAGTGATTACAGTATTACATTTATTTTTCAAAAAGTTGCCGTTGGAACTGGGATGAACCGTTTTACTTCCGAGGTTGTGGGACCTTCGGAAGTAAAAACTGTCACCGTCCACTTCCTAGTAGTCATGTTGTACACCAAAGCCCGATGCGACCAGAACAAGCTTGAAAGGAAAATGATATGATCCCCTTGCCCGTTCCAACTTCCTACGTACCTTCTTCCCTTCTGGTGATGAAACAGCTCCTGAAAGTCCTCTTCGTTGGGGGGCACGGAGACTGGAATTTCGGTCCAGATGATGGAGTCAGGGGTGATTGATGGATTCCATGAATATATTCTAGGTTTCCATCCTAGAGACGTCCTCCAATCCGCATCTTCAGTCCGAGTCAGCTCCGCCAGTACCAGTGATCCATCTCTTTCGAACATCGTGATGTTCTGAAAAGTTGCCAGACCTTGCGGCAGATTACCAGCCAGCACCTTCCAAGAGTTCTCCTTCCAATCAAATGAGAGGTGAGGCCCATTCCACTCCACATCGAAATCCCAGTTCTGCAACTCCGCCGAGGACTCAAACTCGCCGATCCAATCTTGTAGATGGCCAGAACTCAGAAAATAGTAGACGCAGTGACCAATTGCGATCGGCATGGCGATACATTGCACACAAGGTTTCACCTTCAGGTCTGTATGGAAACAAGGACCTGCTTTCCACTGCTTTGATACGGAGTCAAATAATTCAGTGTGCAAAGAAACGATTTCTCTGCAAGGGCATCCTCTCTCGCTGCAATGCATCGCTACAGAGATCAACGTGAAGCTGGAGGTCTCTTCGTCCACCGCTAATGATAGTATTCCCTTTAGATTCGGCATCACGATCAGGTCAGAACTTGGAGATATCTCTGATATAGACTCTGAAGATGGTCTGCAAACCAAGAGACCGGACGCTTCTGGATGTTTTGTGACTCCAACGTACAACAGATGCCACTCCTTATGACGAGACTGGAGAAAGAACTTCTTGTTGGTTGATTTGAGGAATGATACTGGACGTGAGTACCATCTGTTGAGCAGGGGGTTGTAGATCTGCACTTTTGTGCAGTTCACATTGTCTGCACACAGATAGAGAGGGTTGGAGATCCACTCCATATTCTTGATTCGTCCAAATCGATAAACAAGTTCCAAGAGCAGAAAATTCGTTTTCACCGAATTTGGAACCTTGCGTCTGATCATCGAGAAATATGGAGAATCGATTAGAGATTTCCATTGCTTGCAAACGATTTTCAACTGGACCAAGTTCTGCATGGGCAGGCGAGCTAGGATCATTTCCAGGAGTCCGTCGTGTGCATGAAGCTGACTCCATATTTTCACGTCCATTGTCCCCCTCCTCCTTTAGCAACACAGATTTTTGCGTAAATGGAGTGGACACATGCCTCGCTCCTTGCTGAACATTATATACTGTTACATACAGAAGAGTAGGAGCACGCCGGCACAGGTCTCGAGCGGAATTTGGAACGTTCGCCTTGGCTTGTCGGCTATGTGATGCCGATCGCAATATTCAGTTCGAATGTGCATTTCAAGATCAGAATGCTCGTTCGAGAAGAGGACTTTTCTCGCCCCGTAAAAAATCGACAACAATTTCCAACAGGAACTTCTAAATATATCCGTCGCGTCAAATCTACCTAAATCCAATGAAGCGAGTCAGCTCGTACGCGCCCTGTGGCGGATGAGCTGACTGGATTGTAGCGGTCACCTGCTTTCGAAATCCATCGCTCACGGCCTCGCTCATGGCGCCATATAAGTGCACGAGAAGGACCGATTCCGAAAAGTTCACTTATCGAAATAAACTCTCGATTTGGTCTGGAATTCTGTGTTGCTGAGGTTCTAAAAGCCGATCGATCTACGCTGTTGACGAAGAATCAAGTATTCATCTGTCGGTAACAGGCTCACAGACTGCAGTCCTGATGGCGTGTAAGAGCCGCGAGGAGGAAGAAATGGCGGAAGTGGAGATCTGGAGTCAGCTTGACGTAGATGGTAGACTCTTGGGAATGATCCTGGCTCGCCTGCCCGTGCCAAAGTTGCTCCAGTTCAGGACAGTTTGCAAAGACTGGAAATGTCTCATTGATTCTTCGTATTTTTCTGAGATTAGACGCCAGGTTCCGAGTTGCGTGAAGATAAATTTTCTGGTCTTGGAACTTCGTTATCCTCATGGTTATTTCAACCAATTTGACCGGCTCCCCCTTTGTCCTCAATACTGTGCAGTCAATATAAACTGTACAAACTTGCGCATGTATGACCCTGTTCTCGATACTTGGTACAGAGGTCCGTCTTCATTTCTCACACCCACAAGGCATAAACTCTATTTACAATCACATCATAAGGATTGTCAACTGTTGTACGTCGTATTAGAAAATGGACGAGAAGGATCCGGTCTCTTGGTGTGCAGACCAACCTCAGGCTCTATATCAGAGAGATCTTTGAACTCTGATCGCTTGATTGCTATGCCAAGATTATCAGGGCTACTGTCATTAGTGGTCTACGAGGAAACTTCCAGCTTCAGGTTGATCTCTGTAGCGTTACATTGCAGTGAGATTGCATGCCCTTGCAAGGAAACCCTGTACTTTCACACCGAAATCCTTGATTCTGAATCCAACGAGTGGAAAGCAGGACCTTGTATCAATACAAACTTGAAGGTAAAACCTGCTGAACAGCTTATCGCGATCCCCACTGTAATTGGCCACTGCGTTTACTACTTTCTGGGTTGCCGCCGCCTTGAAGAACGGATTTACAGTCCTGATTCACCTGCAGAAATTGAGGACCTCGATTGTTCTGCCGTGTGGAATGAGTTTCACATCTCATTTGACTGGAAGAAGAGTTCTTGGACTAAAGTTGCGGGTAATCTGCCTCATGGATTGTCAACTCATTTCGGCGTCATCACTTTCGAACGAAATGGATCAATCGTACTTGCGGACCTTACCCGCACTGATGATTCTGCCTGGAAAGAGTCTCTAGGATTGAAACTTAGACTCAATTCCTGGAATCCTTCAGTCAACCCTGACTCTGTCACTTGGACAGAGATTCCAGTGTCTGTGCTTCCCAAAGACGAAGACTTTCAAGAGCTCTTTTCTGATCAGAGACGAATCAGTTATGTAGGTTGTTGGAGTGGACACGAAGACCATCTCATTTTCTTCTCTGGGTTTTTGTGGTCTCATCGGGCTTTGGTGTACAATATAACAAGTAAGGAGTGGACACTTTCAGAGTTTGGCCCCAAAACCTCAACCTCAATAGAACGGTTCCTGCCATTGCCGGTAGAAATAAGATAATAGAAATCTCATCTTCCGTGTTCACGTAAAAGTTGTTCATATCCTCACTGTACAGCCGTGGAGTAGTCTCTAAACAGAATTGTGAAACAGAATCAGAGGTAGATGCAAGAGGCTCCAGTCCTCCACGTAGATTCACACTAGATTGTGAATTTCTAAGGAACTACTATTGACTACTAAATTCGAAATCTGGAGGTGTGATTGGTACATTCACATGCCAATCTATTGCATGATCAACTATTGCAGCCACCGTCGTGCAATGCCTTTAATTCAAATGCTTCCAATTTCCAACATGTTCCTCGTGAGGTTTACATCATTCTTTGTAGAATGTGTCGATTTGTTTTACAAAATCAGCCTCATATGTATCTATTGTGATCAATGTGGATGTGATGTGGTACATTAAGAGTGAATAATATGACGCTGAAACAAAATAGGCTCGGTAGTTACTTTGCGTTATTTTTCAGATTGACAAGCTTATTTGAATTTGAAAAAATATATGCCTGTGGCTACATAGAAATTTATCCTCAAATAGGGGTCCAAGTTTAGTTTAAAACAGATTCTTCTTCTATCACATAATAATTCAAATGAAAATACATTTCTTTCAAATTATAAAAAATAATTGTCATTTTTTAAATTAAATTTTTAATCCAAATTGAACTCGTGTGTCTGTGTTCATGAGTTAAAATTATGTATTGAAATTTAGGAAAAGAAAAAAATCACATTTATTTTTTCAAGAGAAAAAAGTTTCTAATTACATTTTTTGTTATTTAAAATTTGATATAATTACCTATGTATATATTCCAAAATTGATACATAAATATCATAATATTTGAAACATGTGAAATATTGATAATGAAGTATAGCTTCCAAAATTCGAATATAAGTCAGGTAAATGAGTGTGATAAATTTATACAAATTTTTGATAAAATTATGTGAATTTTTTTTTTCTAAACATAACTTTTTAAAATATATGTATGTAATTAAGATGAGATGTGTAATCAACATACATTGATAACATGTCATAGATAGATTATACATTATTAATATCTCATCTACTTTAAGAAATTATATATGATTAATTTTCATATATTTTTCTATATCGTTACAATAACATAAATTTTTTTTTATGCAACTTCATTTAAATTACAAATTTCACAAAACGTAGCCATATAGTTATTACATACTACATTGTTTTGACCATACTTAAAGCTATGGCTTTGAACATAGTTTAAGCTATGGTTTTTAATTTGTAAAAAGAAATTTGAAGTGATTTTGATGTAGATACGTTGGTCAATTTAAAAATAAGCTCAAACGCATCATGTTGCAATCTTTCAAGTCGAGATAGGCTGCTTTAGTACCTGCTTTAGTACTCAATTGGACTTAGAAAAGAATTTATCCACCTGAATTCTTTTATCCCCAATCTAGTTCACAATTGAATGAATTGAGTTGATTGAATGGAAGTAGTAAGCTCTACACACCTGGTGATTGAACATGTCTAAGTGAACAAGATTGCGCCACTCCTTCTACTTCGAGATGGCAATATCAATATATTGATACTGATCGGCAAAAAATTGCACTACACGTTCAACCACAATCATCATATCCCCAATGCTAACCTGCAGTTGCTCCTTCAATGTTGAGTGTGCGCCTTCCACGTGCGACAAGGATGACAACTCAAAATGCAGCATTTTGTCAACATATGCACCAACAAAGAATGTCTTTTACTGCATCTAGGTAACCATATATTGCATAGCATGTGGCTGGGTATACCATCACTCCGTTTGAATTTGCACTAGCTTCTCTAGCAGCTCGTCCTCCGTGTCTGCTTGTATCACCCCTGAGAACAATGTCATGAACATCTACCAGTCCTCCTCGGTGAAGCCTGTCCGATGCTTTGCCATTAGACAGAGCATCAGATATGCCATCGGCAGAGCATCTTGTGAACGAAGAAAAAAGCAATCTCGGTCGCTCGCATCAGCGCCAACTGGCGATCGATGACAATGGCGAGCCACACATAGTTGTCCATAAAACTTTTGTAGGCGTTTAGTGCCCACTCGTAATCCTTAATTGTCTCTACATTGAGAATTGCAATGGCCGATGTGAAGATCGATCTAGTGCAAGCAAAACTAACAATGTGAAGTAGGGGCATCTTGAATCCGTTCATTATGTAGGTGTAGTCCATGGTCAAGACCGTTTCAAAGCAACGAGTAAGCTCTACAGCCTTGATGCATATGAAGGCGAATTGTATTAGGCGCCCGTTAGCATCAACATAATGGGTGTTGGGTACATTCAATTCAATTAAGCGCAAGAGCAAAGCTTCAATTTGCATCAGGCTCTCAAGCCGCTTGATTTTGTGCTCCCTCTTCAAGTGGTTTATGTTGCGCGCAATGACGTGCTTGTCCGAGGGTTCCAAACGTATCAACGTTAGAATCTAAGCAGCTGCAACACCAGTGATAGACAAAGTAGGAACGTGTTTTTTTCGTCATTGATCATCTTGAGGTGAGATGAATGCGTAGCCTCAGGAGTCTCATGTAGTTTACTCTTTTACTATATTTAGATGTTGAGCTTAGAGTTATTGGTCGCGGGAGACTATAGAGTCGCCGATGACTCAAAAAACGTTTAGTTTTTTGAGTCGAGCCTCTAGCGTTGGGAGCAGAGCAACTGCCCGTAAGTGTCGAGTTGGAGTCTCTTCGGAGTGGGTTGGACTCGACCTGTGTTGTGGTACATTTGAGTGTGTACGCTCTCCCATTTTATATGTGTGTATACGTGCGTATGTGTATGTGAGTAGCATGTCAGCGATGTAGAGTGTATGGCGTTACATTCTCGCATGACACGAGTCAAAGTCGGATGATTGTGCTCTCTGCATTTCATAGGCACGTCTAGCTTGCGACTCGATTATGAAGGTCTTGCAAAAGAAAGGTACAGCAAGTCAGGATTGAGCTCAAAGGGCGCTGGCGTGTCTCTTCTGCTAGACAAAGAGCATAGCGTGTATTAGACTTGCAGCATTGCAAGAATATGACGTCCATCTTGTAATTTTATTGCTTAGAGATTAGCGATAGCATGCTCTACGCACAAAGCCTTCAAGACATCGATATTGTTGTAAGTGGCATCGAGAGGGGACTTCATGGTGAGGCTGTACAAGTAATGAGGAAGAATAAAAAAGGTGTTGGGGAAGTCGCATTTGAATCAAAGTAGAGCCCGCGTCTTTCCAAGGAATCGAGTAGGCATAGACACAAGGTTAGTAATTTCCCGCGCGCATCTCCAATTTTACCTTTTTCCGATGCCGGGAAAGGGAAGAGAATGAAAAAAGTAAATCAAAAGGCTAGAACTATTGTGGTAACACACTTTTTGTTTTTTTTCAAAATTAAAACATTTTAGAATAGTAAGTACCGCGGTAGCAATTGTAAATAATAATCGATACGCCAAAACAGAGTAAAAAGGGAATCTCGGGATCTGGGAAAATTCAGTGCAGTCTAGGGGTTTTGGGCTTAGGCCACAGTCGGGCGCCCGGAACGGAACAGACGGTTCATGCTGAAGGACCCGCTTCGAGCACCTTCGGCAGTAGATACCTCATAACTTTTTCAATTCGTAACGCCTGGACTTATTTAGGGTTTTGTTGGATAGAACTCAACATTCTCGTTTGAACGAGCCTAAGAACTCTTGAAACGGATAAGAGATCACTGAGTTATGAGTGTAGAAAGTGACTTCGGCGGTAGAGTGCCTTTGGCGGAAGAGTGATTACCTCATAACTTTCTCAATTCGTAACGCTTGGACTTGAGCAGGGTTTTGTTGGAAAGAGCTTGACAGGCTGGTTCTAACGAGCACAAGAACTCTTGGAACGGATAAAGGATCATTGAGTTATGAGTGTCGAAAGTGACTTTGGCGAAAGAGTGCCTTCGGCGGAAGACCGATTTCGGCGGTAGAGTGACTTCGGCAGAAGAGTGCCTTCGGCGGTAGAGTGATCCCTCATAAATGTTTCCATTTGTAACGTCTGGATTTGGTCAGGGTTTTGTTGGAAAGAACTCAACAGGCTTGTTCTAACGAGCCTAGAAACTCTTGGAATGGATAAGCGATCACTGAGTTATGAGTGTTGAAAGTGACTGATATGAAAAGGCGAAGAAGCTGAAGGGTGCCTTCGGCGCAAGGGCCTTCCGGCGGTACGCGGAAGAAGATTTCTGACGGCGGAAATTGGCGGGATTATGTCAAGTGTGGGAAGCAAAACGGCGGGGCGTGAAGTTGCATATGGGAAGCAGGCTGTTATCCATAATCTAGGGAACGGCATTCAAGCAGCCTATGGGTCCCCCGGACCTCGGATTTTGGAGAAGGAATTTTGGCCTTGGATCAGAGATCTTGCGGGGCCCATATCTTTGCGATGGAGGGTGAGATGGACCTGAAATTTGATGGGGCCGTTGATCTCAGCCCGCCGCGCATGCTTGCGAATTTTCAGCCTCAGATCTTGGATCTAAAGCTGTTAAAGACGCTGGCGGCTCTGGTTAGATACTTGAGCAGTTCGGACTTACACCTTCGGGTGATTGTTCCTGTTTGTACTCCTTCGGATTTTTCCCCCTTAATGCCAAAGTGAAGTTTTGTTACTTCGAGTAAACCTTGGTTAACAATTCAGGTTGTACGCTGCTTGAGGCGCCTTCGAGAGTAGCCTCCGCAGTATTTCTGGGAATGACTAATGCCTGCGAATTCAAACTTGTCAATAGATTGTTATGATGTGACACTTGAGCTTTTCTCAATTGAGTTTTTCAGTTCGGTTCTTGTATTCTCTGTGCGTTTTGTGAGTTGAGTGTGTTGTTCACCGCGTGTGAGTGACTTCGGTTTGACGAAGGTACCGCATCCGAAGTAGGAAGTCCAACCCGGGTGCTCTGCTCTAGCAGTTAGAGTTAACAATCCGGAGTTGGGGAACACTACCTGCAGATCCTCTGAATGTACTCGTGATAAACTTTCCCCCTGAACCTTGAGTGGAGGTCCTAACCGACCTCTGAGTTGTGTTTTTATAGTTTCAGGTGTGTGTTGGGGTGAATTACGCTGCACTGTGCGTCCTCCGAGTGACCTCCGAGTTGAGCACTTGCAGTATTTCTGGGAGTGACAGTCGCCTTAGAATTCAAACTCTTCAATAGTCTGTTAAAACGTGACATTTAGTACTCTGTGTGTTGCCTCTGTCCCTGTGGGTTGACCTTTTTGCTGCTATACTGCAGTTTTAGCCTTTGGTGGGTTATTACAAGGATCAGCTGTAATAACC